GGCATATGGCAGTGATTCTGGTTGTCTCATGATGGGGACACCAGGTGGGGACCCCTAGCATGCTTATGTCCTGCAGTGGTCATGTTAGTGTCACATAATAAAACCTCGCAACCTCCAAACATCCTGGAAAAGAAAAAAACAAAAAAAAACAAACAAACAAACAAAAAAAAACACAACTTTATCTGAGCTGGGAAACTTTTTTCTCTGTTTCACATAAAAACGAAAGTAATTTTTTCCCTACTTTTATACTATTTTTATACTGAATTATCCAGGAGTACAACTACCATGTACATCAAGAGAATCTTGTATCAGTTTTGTTCAGAATTTTCCCAAGAGCTGATAACCAATTCACAAAATATTCCCAATAGCAGGGTGGCTGGCAGCATTGAAGTTCTAAAACAACACCCTTGGATCACGTGGCCCTCACACTCATGGTGATTTTATAGCACAAACTCCTGACTGCCTCTATCTTCTGATATAGTCTCACCCGATACAGTATAACTTTATTAAATATTAAATTAATGCATAATTATTTAATTAAACAATATGTTGCTTTCTGTGTTTAGAAAATATATTTTTTAATTTCATATCGAGGTAGGTATAGCAGCTACAAATTTCATATAAAGAGGGCTTAATTTTGGCCATTCTAACTGGGGCAAGGTGGTATCTCAATGTGTTTTTTTTTTTTTAAGATTTTATCCATTTACTTGACAGAGATCACAAGTAGGCAGAGAGGCAGGCAGAGAGAGAGAGGAAGGGAAGCAGGATCCCCGCTGAGCAGAGAGACTGATGCGGGGCTTGATCCCAGGACCCCGAGATCATGACCTGAGCCAAAGGCAGAGGCTTAACCCACTGAGCCACCCAGGCGCCCCTCAATGTGGTTTTAATTTGAATCTCCCTGATGGCTAGTGATGATGAACATTTTTTCATGTGTCTGACAGCCATTTGTATGTCTTCATTAGAGACGTGTCTGTTCATATCTTCTGCCCATTTTTTTATATGATTGTCTGTTTTGTATGTGTTGAATTTGAGGAGTTCTTTATAGATCCTGGATATCAACCTTTTGTCTGTACTGTCATTTGCAAATATCTTCTCTCATTCCGTGGGTTTCCTCTTTGTTTTGTTAACTGTTTCCTTTGCTGTGCAGAAGCTTTTGATCTTGATGAAGTCCCAAAAGTTCATTTTCGCTTTTGTTTCCTTTGCCTTTGGAGACATATCTTGAAAGAAGTTGCTGTGGCTGATATCGAAGAGGTTACTGCCTATGTTCTCCTCTAGGATTCTGATGGATTCCTGTCTCACATTGAGGTCTTTTATCCATTTTGAGTTTATCTTTGTGTACGGTGTAGGAGAATGGCCGAGTTTCATTCTTCTACATATAGCTGTCCAGTTTTCCCAGCACCATTTATTGAAGAGACTGTCTTTTTTCCACTGTATATTTTTTCCTGTTTTGTCGAAGATTATTTGACCATAGAGTTGAGGGTCCATATCTGGGCTCTCTACTCTGTTCCACTGGTTTATGTGTCTGTTTTTATGACAGTACATTGCTGTCTTGGTGATCACAGCTTTGTAATAATGCTTGAAATCAGGTAACGTGATGCTCCCAGTTTTATTTTTGTTTTTCAACATTTCCTTAGCGAATCGGGGTCTCTTCTGATTCCATACAAATTTTAAGATTATTTGCTCCAGCTCTTTGAAAAATACCGGTGGAATTTTGATCGGAATTGCATTAAAAGTATAGATTGCTCTAGGCAGTATAGACATTTTAACAATGTTTATTCTTCCGATCCAAGAGCATGGAATGGTCTTCCATCTTTTTGTGTCTTCTTCAATTTCTTTCATGAGTGTTCTATAGTTCCTCGAGTATAGTTCCTTTACCTCTTTGGTCATACTTACACTGTTGGTGGGAATGCAAGTTGGTGCAGCCACTCTGGAGAACAGTGTGGAGATTCCTCAAGAAATTAAAAAAATAGAGCTTCCCTATGGCCCTGCAATTGCACTACTGGGTATTTACCCCAAAGATGCAGAGGTAGTGAAAAGAAGGGCCATCTGTACCCCAATGTTTATAGCAGCAATGGCCACAGTCGCCAAACTGTGGAAAGAACCAAGATGCCCTTCAACGGACGAATGGATAAGGAAGATGTGGTCCATACACACTATGGAGTATTATGCCTCCATCAGAAAGGATGAATACCCAACTTTTGTAGCAACATGGACGGGACTGGAAGAGATTACGCTAAGTGAAATAAGTCAAGCAGAGAGAGTCAATTATCATATGGTTTCACTTATTTATGGAGCATAACAAATAAGATGGAGGACAAGGGGAGATGGAGAGGAGAAGGGAGTTGAGGGAAATTGGAAGGGGAGGTGAACCGTGAAAGACTATGGACTCAAAAAACAACCTGAGGGTTTTGAAGGGGTGGGGCTGGGAGGCTGGGGAACCAGGTGGTGGGTATTAGAGAGGGCACGTATTGCAAGGAGCACTGGGTGTGGTGCAAAAACAATGAATACTGTTACGCTGAAAAGAAATGAAAAATTAAAATAAATAAATAAATAAAATTAAAAAAAATTTTAAAAAGAGGGCTTAATAAAATATTTGTAATATAAAAGAGTCTTCGGCCAGGTTTCTGGGAAACAGACTCTGTGGTGAAAATATGCATACAGGAAGCATATTAGAGGGTGTCGCTGGGATCAACTGTGGGAGACACTGATATAGTTGCAACAGAGGTCTCGTCCCATCCCACAGGGATCTCTGGGGCTGCGATGGCCCTTCAGAGTTGCTCTGCTTTGAGGCAAGGAGACTGGGCTTTTGTATTCAATATATGTACCCATCACTGGATGCAGGCTGTCCCTGTAGATGGGGCATAAGCCCCCTAGGTGAGGACATGAGCTTCTGCTGAGGTCAGCACTTGGAGAGACACTCAGCTGTGAGTTCTCAACATTCCCAGCAGCTAAAAGATTGAAGACCTGGGTCCTGAGGGAGAATCTGGACAGCACACCACAGCATGCATTATACTCCATCCTTGCTCTGCGCAGATATGTGTGCTTCCTATAACAAGTTCAAGGAGAAGCTCCTGGGTGATTCCGGGTGGCCTCTTTCCCCAGGAAAACTTAAAAGTGTATCTATCTGCTTGGGCTGCCAAAACAAAAGAGCACAGACTTGGGGAGAAGGGTGTTGTTAAACAGCAGAAATATTTCTCACAGTTCTGAATGCCCAAGATTAAAGTGCCAGAAAGGTAAGTTTCATCCTGAGGACTCCTTTTAGCTTGTACGTGACTGGCATCTCACTGTGTGCTCACACTACCTCTTCTTCCAGCATACTCAGGGGAGGAGTGCCATTCACACTTCCATTCTTATGAGGGCACTAATATCATTAGACCAGAGCCCTGCCCTTATGACCTCATCTACCTCTAATTCCTCCAAAGGCCCCATCTCTAAATACCATCACTTTGGGGCTAGGGTTCAACATATGAATATGGGGAGCATACCTTTGGTCCATAATATTAAAGTCAGGCTTTTCAAGAGAAACAGAACCAACAGGGTGTGTGTGTGTGCATGTAAAATAAATTTCTTTATATATATACATATGAAATAAATAATATAACATAGAATAAATCTTGTCATCTCTATAGAAAAATTTATCGTAAGGAATTGGCTCTCACGATTATGAGTGCTGAGAAGTTCCAAGATCTGCAATCAACAATCTGGAGACCCAGCAGAGCCAATGAGTAGTTCTAGTCAGAGTCTAAAGACCTGAGAATAGGAGATCTGATGGTATAGGTTCCAATCTGAAAATCAATAGGCCCAAGACTCTGGAAAGGTCAGTGTTTCAGCCTGAGTCCAAAAGTGAGAAAAGACCAATGTCCCAGCTGAAGCAGACAGGAAGGCAGAGTTCCCTCTGACTTGTAGCCTTTTTTGCTCTATTCATGCCTTCAACTGATTAGATGAGGCCCACCCACCTTGGGGAGGGCAATCTGCTCTACTTGGTCAACCTATTTAGATGCTACTCTCATGCAGAAACACCCCCACAGACACGCCAAGGGTGATGTTTGGGCACATTTCTGGGCACCCCATGATCAAGTCAAGTTGACATAAAATTAACCATTACAAGAAATTTGAACATTAATACAGACTCTGAATGTCACACCAGGAATCTCATAAGTTCTGTTGTGAGAATGCTGTGGTGTCTTAATATAGTGACATGGAAGGTTCTGGAAAGGAACCCAGACACAGAACAATCCAGGGGAAGAACACAATATGTGAGGAAAGGCAGGCAGTGCAGCCATGGTGTGTCTGTGGGCTTTAAAAGCTCCTGTGAGTAGTGCCACTCTGCATATGTAGAAACATTCCACCTCATCCATTCAGGGCTCTCTATGTACCTAACTTTTGTTGTGAGTCAGCAAGCTATTCCAGTCCCCTGCTGTGGTACACAAGACACCATGACAGATGGCAGTGCCCAGGCTGGGAAAAAGTTGCATATTCCTGGCAATAAAACTAGCCAGGAAAGCAGGGAGGCCGTCACTGGTGGGCAAATTAGGCCGGTTTCCTTGGGTTTGGTTTCAATGAAGGCAACAACCTCATTTCCCCACAGTGGGAATGGGGAGGACCCCAAACTGTGGTGAATGTGAGGCAAAAATCCATTAAGTCCACTGACAAGCAGTCTTGCACAGCAGAAGCATCTGAGGGGATTTAATTAAGATCGTGTATGTCCTGATAACCAAGCATGTGACACAAATGAATGGTGGAAAAGGGTCACAGAGAGCTTTATGGAAGGATGAGAGTCTTTAAACTCTCTGACTCACCTGTTAGCTCTGGAGCATCTATGCCCTTCCCACAGACCACAGGAATCCCAGAGTAATGACTTAGCTAAACTCCAGAAGATGCTGGAACCACTTGGAAGCACCAGACTCTAGGACTGAGCTCCATGTTCAGCTGCTTCAACCTCTTCCCAGGATTTCAGTTCCTTTGCTTTTGAAGTCCCTACTTAAAGAGCTCACAGTTTTAGCTTTGCACAGTGGCAGTATCGTAGCCAATGAGGTTTATCCGAGGCGCGATTATTGCTAATTGAAAGATCTCACAGTTTACAATCCAGTGAAATGTGCCCATATTCCACATTAATGTAATTTACATATAACTATGTAAGAGGAAAGTTGCAAGAGGCAAGCTGACATACTGTAATATTCTGCACATACTCAACTAAATGCATATTCATTTTGATGGTATAGTGTTCTTTTACTATATTTGAGCTAATCATTTCCCTGGTCTCAAACGTTTTTCAAGGCTCTTAAAAAGCTTGGATACACCGGACCTTGCACTCAGGGTACCTAATGAACAGATCAGCTCTGCAACTTAGTAACAGGGTGACTTGAAGCAAGTGGCACAATTGAGCCACAGCTTCTTCATCTGTAACGCTGGGGGAGTAATGCCTGCTTGCCACTACTGCTATGGAACACCCCACAGCAAGAAAATGCTTTGTACAAAACAACCATGCAACAAAACTGTCTTTGGTTTAACTCTGAAGGTCTTTGGAAAGCCAGGAGGAAGTGCAGGAAGAGGAAGGAGTCACCACTAACTCTACATGTCACATGGGACAGAGCCTTTACAAGCCCCAGTATATGACACCTCTTTAAGCATTCCCTGACAATCCCAACTATGAGATAAGAAGTGCTATTATCCCTGTGTTGCAAATGGCATCCCTGATGTTGAGACCCACCATAACAACAAGACTGAGCCAGGTTCATCATTGCTGGGAGGCAGAAGCAGTAAAAGCTCATGGAAGGAATAAGGAATGAGAGGAAGTTGAATTTTTCTCTGGCATCCTTGCATGCGAGTTGTGATGGTTATTTCCATCCCTGTGGTCATGAGGAGGCAGAAAAGGGGGGTGTCAAAATCCCCAGAGCTGGGGTTCCTTGGAGGGGCAGGGACAGAAGCACATCCCAAACTTAGCCCGTCCTGTCTCTGCATCAGAGGTACAAACAGTACAGCTGACCAGAAGGTCAGTAAAAGACATGTGACTCACCCAATGGTGGATCACAGGTGCAGAGAATAAAAAGGATGAAAAAGGTTTGGGAAGAAAAAGAAAAAGCACACACTTACATATACATGAGTTTATTATATACACACACACACACATATACAGGCAGCTTAGATCAGGAAAAATTCCTCCAGGTGCTTGGTCATCTTCAGGCTACCAAACCACATGACCCCCTTCTCAGATGACTGAATATAAGCCATATTAATTGAAATGACCCACACAAATGACAGTCAAGGTCAAGGTCCAAGAAAGAGGAAAATCCACTAATATTTTATGTGTATATGTTATTTATTCCATATAATTATTTCTGTTTTACAAGTAAGAATTCCAAGTCTCCAAATCTTTGCAATTTGTTCAGGGTCAAAAAGCTGGTAAGAGGTAGAACCAGATTTTAAACACAAGTCTGTCTCATTCTAAAGTCTAAGCCCTGTTCTTGAGAGCCTGTGCCTCAGCATACCCCAAAGGTTTCCAGTTTTCTAGAAGATAATTTTAAACTGGTAATGGGACATACTGTAAGCATTAATACTTGGTACTTTTCACCTCCAGACAGCCTGGATCCTCTCCCAAACACTACAAATTAAGTATTCTAACTTCTGGTTAGAGGTAAGAAAATGGAGTTCCCAGGACATGATGTAACTTGCCCAAGTTACTACGTACAGCTAGTAAGTGATGGTGCTGGGACTAGAACTCTGACCCCACCCCTTTTATTAGTTCTGCTCCAGAGAACTGTCACTCTGAAGTGAGCCATGGCACCAGACATTCACACAGCTAAGCATGCATTGAGGTCAGTGTGCTGAGTGGGTGACAGCAAGAGAAAACTCCTAGAACTTCTGGGGAAAGCCAGGCAGACTGGTTCCCCGTTGACATGAGTGCACATCTGAACTCCCACTTCCCAGAACTCCTAAGAGGTGATGCTGTCCTCTGTGCTGATCTAGTAAGGAATTTCCATCAGCATACACTGAATAGAGGACAGGGAGATACTAACCGGTGACTTCCAGTCTTAATGAGGAAGCTATAATTGTGTCCCTGGGCCAGACAGTTGCCAGCTTCCTGAGGAAGGAGATGATATCTTTTAAGTTTTAAGGATGTTTTGTTTAAAAATAAACATAGAGGAAGTCTTGGTTTTACTTACTCTCCTTCACCTTGTCCAAGGGGGAGGAAAAGGCAAAGAAATTGTAATCGGTCCAGGCATCTGCTAAATAAAGTAACACAGACATATAGCTTTCCACAGCCGTACAAGGTGAGATTCAGAATTTGATATAAGTTGGTTTAAATGTGACAACAGAAATAGACTACAACATACCGAATAAAGGTCATAAATAAAGCAACAACCTCACATTAATGGGCATGGCATGAGATGTGATTCTTGATCCAAACTCTGGTGGGCAGACGCAGGCAAGAAGCATCTCCTGACTTGCTGTTGAGTGATGTCTTGGAAATGGTTCATAACAACCATGAATTTCAATTCGGCTTAGTAATCCCATCCAAAGCAGAACCTAATAAGGGAGTAATCAGGACATCAGACTGCAGTAAACTTTAGAAGACTATGAGTGAATCTTATGGAAGCTAATCAATAAGTGAATAATCGTGAATGTTTCAGTCATGCACAGCACTCCATCCACTCTGAGATGACAGGGACTGTTAGTAAAGACAGTGTCCGCATGAGGAGCAAACCCAGTGAAGATACACAAAGAAAGGACAGGGGGAGGCGATGGAAAAAGATGCACTGAAAATTATTTTCCTTGCTATTATTAGTAGGATCACTATTTTACTCTCCCCCATACTCCTGAGCAGATGTATTCCAAAAAAACATCTTGGTAAATGGCTGAGAAGTACAAGGCAGCAGGGTCCCTTCAGTTCCCCTAGGGAGGTCCACTACTTTCTTTCTGGTCTGAAAGCTGCTGCCTCCACTCTCTCCCCAAGGAAGCTGCTCTCCTAAGGTCTGGGTGTAGTGGGACACAGGCTCCCCACATTCTTCTTCCAGGCTGTCTTTGAAAGCAATCTCATAGCCCCTTTTTGTTTCGGAGGTTTTACCACTGACCACCAAAGGGGAAACTGGAGGTAAGAAAAAAAAAATAACAAACTTGGAGAAAGTACAAATGTTTAATGGATCTTACGGGTCTTCTAACCACTGTGGACCTGGGTCAGGGGTGACCAGAGGATAAAGCCAGTAGGGGGCAGTGCAGTGTTAGGAATTTCAGCTCTGGGGCCAGTTGGCCAGGGGTTTAAATTCCAATTCTGGCATCTGTTAGTGGGGTGGCTTCTGAACCTCATTTTTTGTTTTGTAAACTGAAGACAATAGAATCTACCAAGGATAGTTGTTTTTAGGATTTAAGATTATAATCTATTACACACACACAGGCATGTGTGTGTATGTATATAAACACAGAGATAAGAGGTAGATATAAACACAATACAGATACAGATGTGTATCACATGAATAATGTGGTAGGTGTTCATATGATAGCTGTGACCACTTTTGTAACACTTTTGGAAGAGAGAGGCACTGGATGGCCACTGGGGGTGAAATTCAACAAGCTTTTCCGTCCCTCCATACCTCCGCTGAAAGTGAACAATTAACACATTTCATCCTGATAGCTCCCTTTCAGATCTTAAAAATGTAACTCTCCCCACTCCGACCACGAGAAAAACATCAGACATCCCACGCTGAGGGGCATTCTATAACACCTGAGTAGTACTCCTCAAAATTATCCATGTCATCAAAAACAAGGAAGACTCTGAGAAACTGACACAGACCAGATAAGCCTAAGGAAACACACAATTAACTGTAATGTGGTGTCTTAGATGAGATCCTGGAACAGAAAAAGGACATTAGCTAAAAATTAGTCCAAATGAAGTATGGAGTTTAGTTGATAGAAATGTACCAACAGGGTCATTTACTTTGACAACTGTACGGTGGTAATGCAGATGTGAATGGTGGGAGGAACTGGGTGAGCGATATTTAAGAACTATGTACTATCTTTGCAATTGTTTGTACTTCTAAAACTATTGCAACATAAAAATTGTATTTAAATTTTAAAAGTTACCCTATTTTACCCATCCCTCCACCTCTCCCCTCTGGCAACCATCACTTTGTGTGCTCCTCTAGATATTATGGATAATTTGAATCACTGTAGTAATAATTAACACTCACTGAGCATTACCATAGCCCCGAAACTGGAATAAACTTATTACCTGGCATTATTTCATTTAATCATCCCAATTGCCCCATGAGGTAGGCACTAATATCCCAATAATGTAGCTCGCTGGTAGGGATTCACTTTATATTCACATTATATTTTCTTATAATGTGACAGCAATTTGGAAATCTAAAAATATTCCTTCCTGGGAAAAAAATATACAAGTAGAGAGGGTTTTCAGAACTGTGGTAGACTGAGCTGGCTTACCTCTTCCTCTAATTCCCAGCATAGAAAAGTTAGATGGAATATAGCAATAAAATTAATTTAATATATACTCTGCTTGAGAGCAGAAAGGAGAATAAGAAATTCTTAGATTCTCCGGGGCGCCTGGGTGGCTCAGTTGGTTAAGCAGTTGCCTTCACCTCAGGTCATGATTCCAGGGTCCTGGGATTGAGCCCCATATTGGGTTCTCCGCTGTGCAGAAAGCCTGCTTCCCTCCCTCTGCCTGCTTCCCTGCTTACTTGTACTTTCTCTCTATCTCTCTGTCAAATAAATCAATAAAATCTGTTAAAAAAATGAATTTCCTAGATTCTGGAAGCAAAGGGAGAGCTCAAAAGCAAAGAATTGAGAGTTTGAGTTTATATCACAATAGTCCAGAAGCATCCAGTCTAGAAACAGGTAAGGGGTAGGGCTTGAGAATAACACTTAAGACTTAGATAAATAGGGCTTAGAAAATGAAAAATATAAGCCCAAGAAAACAGAGGGAGATTATCTTCTGCCTAAGAATCTGAGTAAAGAAATAAGGAACCTCCTATGAAAAGTCAAAAGTCTAAGTTTACTCCATAGTTGCCTGTGGGGTCAGAATTTACATGACTCAGGTAGTATGAGAATCCCAGAGCAAGAAATTAATGTGAAATCTGGTCTAGAAACAGAAAACCTCTGAGTCGTAGAAGAAACATGAGTCT